GAACATAAAAAAAAACGTTCATGGCTGTTTATCAAAGATCGATAGTGTGCAAATCTATTGCTTTGAGCATTTTTTTCTCTGATTTCTAAGAGTTGCTTCCGACAACTGAAAGCAACACTTGTCTATCTGTTTCAAGTGCTACTACTCGCACATGATGATGCCCCACTTTTTTTTACTTTTGTTCTCTTATCTTTCATTCTAACGATATCAAACAATAATTTAGCAAAAGAACGCGGTGCAAAAAAAAAATATGAAAGTGGTATACATTGACCTTGGATGACTGTTTTTCAGTGCATTTTTAACAGTATTAAGCTTTAGATAAGATAAGGAGAAGTGAAAGATGAATATCATTCTTCTTTAATTGTTTCATTTATTACATGCACATATTGTATTCGTACAAATTGTTTGAAGTTAGTGATGGGTAGCGATACTACTGGAGATATCTATTTCTTTTAGTCACACGATTGACGGCTCGCATCCATGGGTCGATGGAAATCCTAATTTGAGTTGGACACCCTCAAATCTTGTACGAATACTGACTCGTACTACTATTCATGATTTACGGAGCAAATAGAATACTGTCGATCTCGATACTCATGGCTTTGAAATTCTCAAATATGATGGTTATATACACGATGAATTTGATGAGGACAGCAAGATGCAACAACAATACTATGAAAATATTGTTACTCTGCTCAAAAAACGACTCCATGCCTTCCATGTGGTTATCTCCAATTACATATTCCGCTATCGAACGATCCCACGTACTGCTGACCATTGTGATCAAACACACAAGAATCTTGTTTTCTATCCGCATGTGGACAGGGATCCGCGTGAAGCTCGCTTAAAAGTGGAACAAATACTTGGTGCAGAAGAAGCCAAAAAAAGTGATGCACAAACGTTTCCAAATTATTAATGTTTGGCGACCGATGAGTTCTAATCCCATCATAAACACTCCTTTGGCCATTTGTGAATATCGATCGTTAGACATCAACAATGGTATTCATTTGACAGAGACTCGAGGATCCCAAACCGGCATTTCGAACTATATGGTCTCACGTAATGCTCAAGATGCTCAAATGTGGTATTATCTGAGCCATATGCAATCAAATGAAATATTTCTCTTCAAGATCTCCGATAGCAATTCTGATGGTGCCCAAATTGGGACTCATACTGCTTTTATCAATGAAAATGAACCTCCAAATAATATTGAACAAAAACGCATTGAAATGCGCTGTCTTTTCTTTTATGATGAATAAAAAATAAATTGTTTGCAAGCTGAAAACGCTCAATATTTGCAGATTTGAAGGTGTGAATGCGGGTGTGAAGTTTCATTTCCCATCATTCACATCTACACATTCATAGCTAGAACATTTTTATCATAACTGTCCCGAGGAAAGCACGAAATAAGACTATATAAGGTCATCATAGTCATCTTTTTATGAAATGTACGACCTAATAGCTTGATAATTTTGAATTTTTTTAACGACTTCATTGATCGTCGTTTAGCTGCACATACACTCGCCGTAGATGACATCTGTGCACGTCGTTCATTTATTATCGTTTACGCACGTTACAAGCATGTGTTATTGGTATATATATCTGAAAAGAGTAGGGTGTGGGTGTTATAGAACTGGAGATATCGGAGCACAGCCATACCCTCTTTAATAGGCTACTTTACGAAACATATCGTATTTTTTTTCTGTGCAGATCGCGCACTGATAACAAAGCACCAGTAATCAGATCAGAGAGAAAGAAGTAAGCAAGTCAATATGAGTAGATGGTAAATAGTAGAAGATGAGCGGCAGTATTATACAGTAAGATACCAAAATTTGTATTACGAGTATTTTAAGAACTTCATCAAGTGAACGTGATGCATATGAAAACTGAATATATATACAGAGAAAGCTTGTTACAAAGTATAAAATTTCACAATTAATAGGTAATCCTCTCTCCTATAGATTCAATCCAAATTAAACATCGTGCTCTCACCGATTTGACTAAATGATTTAGAGTCATCGAGTTAATTTAGTCCCATTTTTTAAGCAGAAATCAGTCCAATTCATCTATATATGATGTTTTCCGCTTCTTGACACAACATTTGATGGTTGACCAAAGAATTCTTCACTAGATGAACATCCTGACTGTTGAACAACCAGTATATAAGACAGATGCAAAAGTCTTTGCAAAAATATCAAGCATTTGTAGGCCGTTTTACTGACTTTCGAACTAACCAATTTTTTTCGTTAGAAAGATCAATGTCTGAGCCACAATTTTTCTAGTACACATTTTTTTTTGATAGAACGAACATGAGAAGGAAAAAAAGCGAAAAAGTCAGACACAAGGTAAAAAGTTCTTCCAACGTTTTTGCAACTTGAAAAGTCTGTATTTTTCATTTATTTTGAGCTACATGGACCAAGTTTTCATAAGAAATACAACAAAATGTAGCGCATCAAACATTCTGTCAATATCAAGTTGACTAAAATATCTAATGTTTGTTGAATCTTTAATCAACAAGATTTGAAAAATGAATTTATATTAAGTAGAGGTTTTTGCAAGAACATCAGCCGTAATCTCCGACAATCATGTATGAACTCAATTATTTTTACGTTATTTGTTCGAAATGTATCATATTATAGAACCATACCAAAAAAAATTGATTCAAAACAAACATTTTTAAGCGTTGAAAAACGGCTAGATAGTGAACACGAGCAGATTAATCAGCTTGTTTGTAAAATAGCAATAGTTCGGAGTGAAAATCAATAGTAAATTCCACTTTCTCAACATACCATTGGAAAGAGTAATCTCGAGATGTTGTTTGATGGTGAGATAGCAAGAATCTTAATACTCTGTGTTTGAGTTTGGCTATTCGTCTTATTCAGGTTCGTGATGAAAAAGTATATGTGATACAAAAGTGGTCATTAAGACATTGCTCTTTGCAACTACAAAAATTTGATTTATGTGGAAATCGATAATGCGATTTATCAGCTTTTACTACTTTTGAGAAGACTTTGCACGGCATGGTAATCGTATATGTGATTAAATAACATTTTTATTTTTTTAAATAACGATTTGATATTGATTGTTTCATTAATTTTAATAAAACTAATGATTATGCTAAATAGAATTTAGTTTTGAGAATTTTATTAGCATTTGAAGCTCTTTATTTTGATTTTATTTTTATTGTTCAACTTTCACAAAATTCTATTAATGTGTTTAAATAAAATCAAAGATTTATTTTAGAAGAATATCAATAGAATTTGACATTTTATTGATAAATAAATAACGCTTATAATTAAACATATCGTCAGGCAACATTGAAAAGAGAAATATTTTATAAAGACACACAAACAAAACTATAGATGTTTTGTCTTTTTTTATGTTTAAAATTATTGAAAAGTTAATGATTTATATCTGAAATTCATTTTTGTTCATATAAATAGTTTTGAATTCGATTAGTTTTTTATAGTTGAAAATTGCAAATAAAAATTAATTTTTTGGATTAAATTTCAATTATTTATCACTAATTTAGAAGCTTTTGTCTTGTTTGAAAAGATATTGCAATGTGTACATGTGAATTTAAAATGTTTTTGTTATTCTGTATTGGTAAGCAACTGATAGACACTAAGTTATCTTGGTAACATGTCGCTCTTTAACACAATAAGACAAAAAACTGAGTGTAATGTAGGATACTCAAAGTAACCGATAACGAGTAGATTTTAGATGTTGATGTGGATAGTTGCGAGTGTGAATCAAAGTTTGTTTTTTCATCCACACACACTGTTACCTACACCTACATTCCTTCAACATGGTTATACTGTCCACCGATTTCATCAACATAACGATGCAATTTGTAAAAGATCCAAAACATTCCTTTTTTTTTTGTCTATTCTGTTTTCTAAATGACATCGTTGTAACGAAAGAAAAGAAAAAGGTAAGCTGAAATAATAAACATTTAAAAGAGTAAATAGAGAACGGAAAGATATCTTGTGTATATTAACCTAAACTGCTTATGTTTTTGTAATCATCATTTGAACTTTCTTTTATCTTGAAAATTATTTGTATAACAATTAGAAATCGTTGTTTCCATACTAAATATTTTGAAAAGTTAAAACAAAAAATTAACAACAAATTGAATGAATAAATCTTGGTTTCTTTTTTCAAAACAGAAGTCAATTATAAACATCTGTTCAGACAAAAGTTTACTCTTATTTAGACCTGTAAAATAAAAAAAAAAGAAAAGTATTGGCTATATCTTGAACTAGTTGAGATTCCTTTCAATTTTTCTGATGGAAAACTATGTTTCTGACAAAAACGGTAAATAAGTTTTGACATAAATTTTTTCATTCAAGTCCAGGAAAAAACATATTAAAATGGCATATTCATGATATTTTTAAATGGAATTTTTAAAAGCACGTATTAGATGACATAAGTTTGCGCCATCTCTGTGGGGTTTTAATTATATAATAGTAGGATCAACATTTCTTTTGAAAATCTCTCTAAAATTTATTTTTTCCGAAAAACTGAATTTTCTGAGAAGAGGGCTTTTAATTCAGATAATAATCTTATGAGCAATTTAAATGTAACTATGTACAAACATTTATTAGTGATGATTAAAAAACACTCAATTTTCATCATTCACATACCGATTTTCAAACAATAGTTCAATTGCATTTTAAAAATCAAAATTATGATTGAATCATGTAGATAAGACAACTTTTTTTTGCAAATACAAGGCATCTATCCATAAATTCTATGAAAGAAATTTTTATCAAACCATGATTGATTAATATATATATAAACTAATCGCTGTATGATAATCAAGTCCATATCTTCTAATTGAAACGACTTTGCTTAGAAATTTTAACTAATTATTATCGAAAAGTATCTTGATTTTTATAACAAATGTATAAAATTGTACAATATGATAACATTTGATGATATCAATGTTTTAGAAATATCATTATTAATAACATATAAATAAGTAATTTAATAAAGCAATGGCAATACAATCGAAAATTCAAATAGAAAAATATCAATTTGGTATTGATATTCGTAAAATACGTCAAATCTATGGAGAAAAAAATAATGATCAATCAAGTTATACAGAAAAATCAGATGTTTATTCAATGGGTGTTTTAATGTGGGAAGCTTTATCAAATAGTGAAATTCCTTATTCATATATTGTTGATAATAATCTAGTTGTAAAAGTAAAATTAGACTCTTATGGAATCTTGTTGGGAAAATGATCGAGAATGGCGACCAACTTTTGAAGATATAAAAAATTCGTTATCTATCATTAAACCTTCTGAAGTCTTAGATGTTCGAATACCTATTTTATCATATCAGTAAGAAATTTGTCCTTACTTTGAATTCAATAAGTTCTTATTAATTAGTATTTATTCAGTTGTTTTTCTATATTAATATTCAATCTTTGATAATTACTTAGAATATTTCGAAAATGATGAATCATCTTTCTTGTGAATGAACTAGTCGTTGCTTTTTCCTTTAAAACCATCGACAAGCTACACTTTTAAACTTAATGTTGATGTAACAAGGAATGGTTTATTAGGTGGTAGATTTCGTAAAATCTATGAAGCTCAATGGATATCAAGAAGAAAGAAATCCATTATTTTGATTGAAATGAGTGAAGCCCCAACAAAACACGAAGTATTATTTTACAACGAACTCAACAATCATCAAGATATTATCAACACATTCGGATTTGTTGAAAATAATTTTGGAACTATTACGTTATTGCAAGAACGAGCATCTCATGGTCATTTTCAAGAACTATTAAAACAGAAATTATTTGAACCATCATCCATGGTACTCATTGTCATTTTCTTACAGATTATTGATGCAATGGTTTACATCGTTGGCAAAGGCATGATACATGATGATTTACGTTGTTCGAATGTTCTTGTCTTTCAAATGGATTCATCTAAACCTGAAGAAAACTTTGTTAAACTAGCCAATTTTGCTTTAGCATGACCCAATAAACCGTCTTTATTAGACGATAGACGATCAACTATTCCAGTGGAATATTGTACGCCTGAAATTCTTCGAAGTGCAGGTCGGTTAAATTATCCTGAATTATCCGAGATTTATTCGATGGGAGTATTAATGTGGGAAGCTCGTTCACAAGACCAAACTTCTTATGGTTCTTCAATGTCTAACAAAGAAGTTCGGCAGAAAAAGTTAAATGGTGAGTAATTACCTAGACCATGCATGTGTGATAGACAAATTTGGTCTATTATTAAAAGTTGTTGGTACAATGAACCACAATTACGAGATAATTTTAAAGTTATAAAAACACAACTTTCTAGTATTAATCTTGAGTAAGTAAATCAAGTGTAGACAATTGAACTAAGATAATAAATTATTTTTATCTACAAAAACGTAATGTTTGATTTTTATTTTCAAGATCACATTTTCAATATGAACTAGATGTTGATGTCAAAATAAGCAATCAACTACATGATGACCATGGACAAATATTTTATAATGCAGAATGGATAAAAACGAATAAACCACCGATTATATTAATTGTAATAAATACAGAAACAGCAGAACGTGAAGCTTCATTTTATATTGAATTTAGTTCTCATGAACATATTGTCCAGACATTTGGTTTAGTAAAAAATGATCCTCGATCGACAATGTTAATACAAGAACGTGCTCCACATGGTAATCTACTAAAATTATTACAAAGTCAACAATTTAAACCATCAGTAACGATACTTGTAACAATTTTCTCACAAATTGTTGATGCTATAATTTATATTATTGAACAAGATATTATACATGGTGATTTACGTTGTGCTAATGTTTTAGTCTTTCAGATGAATCCATTTGAAGTAAAAGGAAATCTAGTTAAACTAACAAATATTTCTCTAAGTCGTATAAATGATCCATCGTTTAAAAGTAATCTATTTGAATTCGATAGGCTGCACCAGAAATTGTTGAAAGCAATGTGGTCAAACAAATTATTCGGAATTATCTGATGTTTATTCGATGGGTATTTTGATGTGGGAAGCTTGTTCACAGGGAGAAGTTCCGTATGGAACTGATACAAGTGATAATGATATTCGACAACGAAAGTTGAAAGGTGAAAAATTATCAATACCAAAAAAATGTGATAGACAAATATGGAATATTAATAAATTGTTGGTATAATGAACCACAATTACGATACAATTTTACTGACATGAAGAAGCGTTTGTCTAATTTTATTCCTGAGTAAGTGAAATGAATCTGTAAAGATAATATGATGAGAGCATTAAACAGGAAGAAATTATAGAGTTATTATTCAAGACTTTGCATCTGAAAGAGAAAAACAAAATTATGTTGTGTTAAGTTTTTCTTTTGAAATTAGTTTCCACTTGTATTTTTTTCGGATTTAAGAATCTTTCGACACCTTTATTTCTTAAAAATTTAAATATAATATTTGCTTTCAAGGTCAATAGAAATTTATGAGTATCAATTGAATATTAATGTCAGAAAGAAGAATCCACTTAATGGTCATTATGGTAAATTTTATGAGGCAGATTGGATACCAAAACGAGAACTACCAATTATTTTAATGATCTTGAATAAAGAAACAGCACAACATGATGCTTCATTCTATTTGACGCTCAATTCTCATCCTCATATTATACATACTTTTGGTTTCGTTGGAAATAATGATCGATTACCTATGGTACTGCAAGAATGTGCTACATATGGTAATCTTCAGATATTGTTACAAAGTAAACGTTTTCAACCATCAACTAAAGTTCTCATTACAATTCTTTTACAGATTCTGAATGCTATGATTTACATAAGTAGTAAAGATATTGTACTAAGTAATTTATGTTGTTCAAATGTTTTCGTCTTTCAAATGAATCTAATAAATTCATCAAAAAATCTGGTTAAATTAACTTATTTCAGTACGATATTGTGCTTCTGAAATTCTCAAAAGTACAGATAAGTCAAATTATTCTGAAGCATCCGATGTTTATTCATTTGGTGTTTTAATGTGGGAAACTTGCTCACAAGGAAAAGTACCTTATGAATTTGATACAAGTGATAATGATATTCGACAAAGAAGACTAAATGATGAGCAATTGCTACGACCAAACTCTTCTCATGATCAAATATGGCCTATAATCGAATCTTGCTTGTATAGGACACCGGAAATGCGAGACACTCTACAACAAATTCAAGAGAGCTTGAGAGAAAAAGTTACAAAAGCGTCATATATCTTTGAAAAGTAGATATTGTAGCTTGGTTCAAAGATTTCCAAATGAGTATATAGTCTTAGCAACATGATCTTGCAAGTTTTTCAGACTTGAATCGAGTTCAATTCTTTCTTCGATGAGTACTCTTGCCGCATTCAAATCGGTTCAATACATTTTGATTAGTTGACTATATGACTTTGTTGACCTGACACATATCTTCGAAACGTTGGTAGAATCACTTTGTCTACTTACCTTTGCCATGGATTCTAATAGCATTTTATTTATTCTAAGCTAAAGAAGAGATTTTTGCTGATGTGGTGAAAGTAGCTAGCAAACAAGTGATCAATGAACAATACCAAAACCATGTGTTCTTTCAAATAAGAATAAAAACAAGTCTATTCAAAGGATGGAACTTGTCTAATCCTTTTTTCGTTAATAAGAGTATGCCATTTAGAAAAAAACACATTGTTGTCCTTTTTGACTTTTCTTTTAAACGAAAAATAGTCAACAAGACTCAATAAACAAGAGTTATTTTTTTATAGTAACTTGTTCTTTTTATAGTATCTCTGTACCAGAGACATATTGTAAGGACGAAGACATGGTGATAGAAGATATTGCTTTTCGATATTAGTTATTAGGAATGAAATCATCAATCGGGACAGTTTTTTTTCGTCGATCATTTGTTTGAAACAAATAGGCAACCAATAAAATCGAGTCTTTATTCAAATTATGAATAATTCATTTCAGCTGTATAAAGCGAATAGTTTTTAACATTATTAGTTATACTTAACTCTGTTTGTGAGTACAAAATTTCCAATATTACGTTAAAAATGATTGATGATGATTGCAGAAAAAATACTAGCTGATACCGTTTATGTCGTTCTTCTGATCTGTGCAATCCTTACAAAAATTTTGACAAAGCTAGCTTTGGTCCTATTCAACTAATAAGAAGTCTATTCAAAAATACTTTTAATGCAACAGTTCCATGGAAATAAGCTCAAATGGTACATTTTATCGAACAAGTTTTTTCTACAAGCTGATAAACAAATAGTTGTTGTATGCAGAATGTAAAATACAACAGGTAGCGCAGTGGTTAATATACAATAGTATGTATTGTTATTGCCTTATAATATCAGTTTGCTGCAACCAAAAATGATTATATGGTCTGCTCTTACTCAATGAATACAACATAATTGAAAAAAATTAACAAAAATACGTATGATTCCTGTGCTTTAGCATGGGATTTAGTAAAACCTTTTCTCGTTGTAGACATCGCAAATAATTCTATAGTTGTTTCGAGAAACAACATAACAAAAGACTATATTGCAACAGTTTTAGGTAGACAATTTTATCATAACCACTTTGTTTCAGAGTATGTAGAATGGTAGTATTTTACGATTTAAAAAGTCTATGATCATATACGATTAAATACTTCATATGCTAAAAGATAGTTTTTGGTCGTATTATTTGAGTGAATGTATCAGTATTTTCATTATTGTAAAACGTTTTTATTACATGAGACAGAAATAGTATTACACTTTTATAACCTCAATGATTTTTCAGTCATGCTTAGCTGTAGCAAATTGTTTTTGCTCAATATACAATTTGTGTCTTAAGTAAGCTTTTCGCGAACGTAGAAAATAGTATACGTTTGATGAATCTTCGATGATGACTACGAAGAATTGTTGTGAACTAATTCTATTTCTAGATTATATGTTTACAAGAGAAAAAACTTCAATGACAGATAAACACAAGTTTGTAAATTAGGCGCCCATATACTGCAAGATGAAGTACAACATTTGCAGTTATTCGAATTTATTATAAGATTATGATTTGTGAGACATCGTGTGACAAGGCTGCATTTTTTTGAAACTCGAGTGAATACTTTTATATCTATGTCTGCACATTGTACGTAAATGCATTAAGCTAAATAAACTTTGTAATATGTCGATGTCCAAACTATCATTCTAATGTAGCTAAATCTGTGTAAGTTGTCTATCGATCAAACATTTAAATTTGTTGTTAATTTAATTCTTAGATGAAGGAGCTTTATGATACAGATCATCTATACTACGGTTTGGTGAAATCAATCGAATAATTTGAAAATATGCAAGATTATATTCTTATCGAATATTTAATCGAAATACTGAATTTCAAAGTTTTGTATTGTTGAAAAGAAACGTTTTCAAAACAGATATGTCACAATAAGCAAGTATAATCATTTCTAGGGCGACTAATATTTTTTTTAAAATAATGTGTAGAAAAATTGATAGGATTTCATCTTCTAGTAAAGCCACACAGGATAAGTCTACTCTAAAAAGAAATTGCGAAAATTGATATGTGTAGAGTTGTGTACATCCGTTCGTCATTATTGAAACATTTACTGATAACTTTAGATCTTCATGTAAACTTCGACTCAAAAATAGATCCGGATGAGGGAATTTGATCTCAAATTTGATCGTCGAAAGGAAACTATGATGAGAAATCATGTCATGACAGCACTCTGTTTCTCTCTGTGTTTAAAAAAAAAAGAAGACGTGAAAATTTGTGGCAGTGATGCTTGTAGATACACAGACGTTGAAGTATACCATAAAGGCTAATGTTCAAATAACTATTCTGCAATGAAAACATAGTAATTTGATTTTTCAATAGATTTCTATTTGGATCATTCGAACAAGGAAAAACACAAGAAAGCATGAGGAATCAACGATGAACAATTTTCAAAAATGATTTGAAGAATTCAAATGCGTTGTTAAATTGATTTTTGTAGTGACAGTCGAAATGCATTATTATCTAGCTAAAAGACATAAAAGAAAAATGGTTATTAAACGAATGACGTATTTGACGAAAGGAACACGCATGCTTTTTCATTCAAGCATATCTTTAATTTCGTTACATCGTGCAAAGTTACACGTGCATTCAAACGACGACAAGTTTAATAATTTACCTGCGTAATAAAATATGTTTTTTTGTATTCCGGTTAGTCTATCATGAAAATATTCTGTTTTTATTTTTAAAACAATCTCTCTTTTTTTTTTAAATAGATATGTTGTGGTGTGGGTCCTGATGGTTGTTGTTTCTGTGGCATTCCGTGCAATTGTTTCGGAGAAATTAGTCCTTTCGATAGAGGGTGAACAATTGACTTCTTAATTTCTCTAAAAAAAGTTTTTTAATTCGCATTTTAGACCTGTTCAAACTCAACCAGAAGCATTCTACTACTGATTCTAACAATGCAAACTGACTTTTGTTCTTTTTTCTACTCACTCACATTTTATCGAACCATGTAACATATGTGATTTCGTTTTCGATGAAACAATCGACATAGATAAAGAAAACACATTAAAAATATGTGTTACGACATATTTTACAATGTAAAACATCTGTTTCCACTATTTTCGATCAATTAACATCAATAATGACATCAATTAAAAGCATGTGTTTCGAAAGACGTGTGATAGAGTGCATTTCTTTGTTTCAAAATTATATTTCTGCTGTAACTCGAAGATTATCATAGCTCATAAACACATATATTATTTCTCAAATAGTTTCAGCCATTATGCACAATCGAGTAGTATCATTTTCGGAGTGTTAAAATGACGCATCGTTTGTTGTCGATTTGAAATAGTTGAGTATGGTCTTGTTAAAAGGATTGACTTTGATGATTAACTCTCGTTATTGTGTAGAAAAGTGCTCATTGTTAACTGAATATGTTTTGGACAATCGAGATGTAACAGATCTTCGGTCTCGATCAAAGTTCGAAAATATGACAAGTCGATTAATGGTATACTTTGACATATATGCTTGATTGAGTCAAGTTGAAATAGACATAGAATTCATTCCCATTAACTGCAAATCATGTCCTATATAAACATGAGTAACTGATAGACTTGATGTTCTCATAAAGACTATCTTCACCTGTCTTATTAATAGAGGTCATAGCATTCGAATTTCACGAGTATCCGGGACATTTCGATCTGATAAAATATTATCTCCATAAGTGAGCACAGATTTTTTTTTTCTTAAAAGATTTTCTACAGATAAAAACAACGTCAGAGATACATTCGAAGAGTTAAAGGTTATTCGTTATGGTATTGAGAAAAATTAGCATGCATTCGAATGTTAAGTTTGCTCTTACGTTACTCTTCTATTTTATTTCAGTGTGCTTCGATACTAAAAAGAATTTATTTTAAGTTCTATTTGGCAAGAGAGTTAAATAGGACATATGACAGTTGAAATCTCATTTCTGCTTTAGAGCATACACTTCAATTTCAACAGTTTTGAAATAGTGTGAACCAGTGAATGTAAGACGTCCTTTGCCAGTTGAATCAATATAATCACTAGGAAACATAATATTACTGCGAGCATTTTGATTACTATCTGAATAAATACAAATATCCCGTAGACCAAAAGTTGGTCCCATCGTTGTTTTGCAACCAGTTGCATTTCGACCTTCAGCATTTATTTGATATTTAGTAGGCAATATTTTATACGGATTAATTAGTGTGAATAGAAAGGCATCCATATCCACTGACCATTTCCAATTTTCATGACTTTCCCAATTGATTGATGTGTATCCACCAAATAAATGTCCACTTGACGATTGAATCACGGTCAATGTTGCACCTTTTCTATCACAACAGCGATAAAAATCCGTACTAGAAAATCCATCTCGTGTGGCTTTGTAAATGAGCCGCCACATTTGATTTTGTTTTCCGTAAAATTGATTCAATTGAATTTGATGTTCTTGACATAAGAGTGTTCCATCAAGGAAGTATTCCTTTTCGCGATGAATATCATGTTCGAGTGAGCTTTGAAGACGTGAGTTCAATTTGATGGGTGGAATGGATATTTTGATACGAGGTTTATGTTGACCAAGATCGATTTGAATTTGATTGAGTCTCTCACGTAAGTGTTTGATGTCCTGCTCGAAATAATTATTCTCGAATTTATATTTTCGTAATTCCGTCGAAATTTGATCTAAATCAGCTTTGATGGTAGAAGTTCTCGATGTCATCAGTTCCTTAATACGATTTCGT